TTTGTCAATTCCTTGGAATCAGAAAGAGAGAAGAAGGGTAGAGGAATCAGAAGCAATAATCGAAGACTAGAGGAAAAAAAATAACCCGCATATTAGACACTGAGTTCGTTGATGAATACTTTTCACAGGAACTTCATAAACCACCACGTTGCCCACAACGCCCTTCACGGCTGAAAGCATAAAATTCAGAGGATCAGGTCGCTAGACTCACAAATACGCTCATAATCTTGGAGATGGGGTGGGCGTGGCTGCGTTCCCATGAAAAACGCATGATCACGTTTAAGTGGACTACGCTGTCACGCCCTATCTATCTTTAGGACATGGAGGGTACATATTGTAAAAACATACCGATAAGTAAAACTTCTCCACAGAGAGTTACTGCCAGGTAAGTAGCGTCTGAAAACGTCTTGAACGACAACAAAGGCGTGATTTCCGATTTCTGAAACACGTTTTTATAACGTCTGTCAAATCTCCATATGCTGTGGAGCAGCAGAGTGGAGCATGGATAGCGTGAGTGCGGTCGCGTCGCGTGTTCGTGGAACGGCCGGCTGCCAACAAATTTGATAAAGGAGGCTGGTGAGTTCTGCTGAACTCTTGGAATAGGACAAACCAGTGAACTGAGTTAAGTTCAGTAAAACTCATTTTAAAAAACAATTATGGACTCCCGCAGTATCCCCGCCCTCCCCACCTACTTATGGATATGCACTACGAACGCCCGGATAAAGATGAATCCGCACTCTGCCTAGCCCCTGCACGAAAAATTACAAAAACCGAAAACATACCGTTACACTGCGTTGATTATATCCATATACAAGCACATTGCCAGTGATATCTAACGTCACCAGACAGTTGAAATTTTTGTGCCGTACGGCAGCTGCAGCAGCCACTCCCCATCCGGGATTCGCTAACGTTCGCTCTTTCTGATTGGCTGAAAACAAGTTTTGAAATATCGCGAGAAAAAAGTTGAGGAAACAATGCCAAGAAACTTGGAGGTCCATGCGACCAGGAAGCCCTTGATAACTCTGTTCGTCTGCGCTATCTGTGGGTGAGGCTGAAGGAGGACGGGGTCGCTATCTCGGCGGGAGATCGCAGACGAGCAG